ACCATCATCTCCATCAACACTAGCACCACCATCATCGTGAAACCATCCCCACCATCACTATCACCATCATCATCATCACCGCCATCATCATGATCATTACCATCATCTCCATCAACACCAGCATCATCATCATCACCGTCAACACCACCCCCATCATCCCCACCACCATCAACACCAGCCCCATGGTCTCTCTCATCACCATCCCCACCACCATCATCCTCACCCCCATCATTAAGTGCACGGAAACCAGTCAGCACCGTGCCAGACGCAAGCCACCTTACTCCCCTCCAGCAAAAGCTTCTTCAGCGTGTCATCTCTTCTTGGCCGTCTGCCTTGAAACGTYGTCACCTTCACATTTCCACCGTAGTCTCCTCTGGGCTTCCCGTTCCTGTTCCATCATCAGTCTACCCTGCCGCTGACGGCATGTGGATTTATGGATCGATTTTTACCGGAACGACACGAAGCCCACATTTAAATGAAATGAAAATTGGCGGCACATTCAAGAATTCACTCCGCCTCGTGCCTTCGACCGCGGAAGAGGCTCTGTGGATGAACGCATCCCTCCCACCCTCTCCATGTTGCTGAGGCTGGCCTCCCACCTGTGATCCTCCAGCCTCAGCCTCCTGAGCTGCCGGGATGACAGGCGTATGCCTAGCAAAACCTTCATCCTTTATCAAATCAGTCTGTGGCTCTCATTTAGAGCAACAGAAAACAGATTCAGGCTCATTGCTGATACCGACACCCAAATCCTCAGGAYGGGGCTGTGTAAATTCCAGGCACCGGTCCTCTAGAATTTCACTTTCATCTTTGGTACTAGGGATTGAACTCAGGGGCACTTGGTCACTGAGCCCCATCCCCAGCCCTTTTTATTTCTGAATTTAGAGACAGGGTCTCGCTGAGTGGCTTAGGGCTTCGCTAAGTGGCTGAGGCTGGCTTTGAACTTGTGATCCTCCTGCCTCAGCCTCCCGAGCCGCTGGGAGGACAGGCCTGTGCCACCACGCCCAGCASGATCTCACTTTTAAAAGTCACTTAGGGAGCACCTAGGATGCACCGGGTGGATAAAATTCTCAAAAGGGYTTTTCCCCATGCAACCGAACCCAGGGCAATTGTGCGCCCGTAAATGCACCTATAAACTGGGGGGTTATTTGCTGCACCCCGCACCCTGAGTCCCCACAAGTATTTTATTCCGATCCTCCCACAAGGGCTGCATTTGAAAATGGGCAACCCGGCAGCACCCCGTCCAACCAGAGCATCGTCACGGATGCAGCCCTTCTTTCCTTCGCTGCCGAGCCTCTGCACGTAGCAGCACTGCTCCAGCCCTCCGCAGAGCAGAGAGGATGTTGCGATCAAAGGAAAGCAACCCTGAGACGCGACCACCAACAGGGGCCCAGMCACAGATTCCAAGCCACTGACCACTGAACCCTCGAAGCCTCCGCTACTAGCCCCAGGCCGGGAACGGACGCCGACTGAAGGCCAATTCTGCTTTATGCACTGGAGCTGGGGGGCACCAGGATGGTACACGCTGCCGGGGAGACGGCCCTGGAAAAACCCAGGTATCCCTCCACCTGCTCCGTCCACCCCGCGTCCTCCATGAACACGCCGGCATCATGGTCCAAATGGGAGGGACAGAGGGGAGTGAACGGACGGACGGGAGGGTGTGGGGCAGGAAGGACAGTGGAATGAATGGCTGCCCTGGGTCCTCGGTAGCTGGCSGATCCCACGTCCGCTTTCCTCTGCCCAGAAAAACATTTCTTTCTTTTTTAAGAAACCGCCTTCCCCGCGCTTAACGGCAGGACATCTCAGAATCTGCAGGGATCTCGTGAGTCAGGAGGAGAGGCCCTCCTGACCAATCTAAACGTGCTCTCCAAGCACTCAGACCAACGGGACACCCACAGAAGGGATTTATCTCTTGTGCAAACAAGAGAAAACACAATGACCTCTTCCATCACAGCCTGCAACAGAGCTCAGAGGGGGAAAACACTCTCCAAATCATCCAGAGAAGAAGAAGAAGATTTCCCCCCAATTTACCATTGGTGCCACTCCTGTTCTTTTGTGGAGTCGTCCTGTTCTTTATGCACGATCATCTCTTCCCAGCGGAGCATGTATCTCTGCTGCTCGCCCCTGTTCTTTGGCTGRATCATCTGTTCTCTGGGCTAGAGGAGGAAGCTACCCACCTGCCTACTCCRAAGTCTTCAAAGTGGACAAGCAAAAGACCTGGAGGTTTTAGGCATCGCCCAGGTTCATCAAGGGAGGCAGGAAAAATAGAGGACACTAGACCGTGGGTGTGTTTGCATACCTTCAYGTGCATGAACCAGAAAACGAGTTCTAGGATACAGAATCACAACTCRCGGGTGCAGCCAAGGCAAGTCGTCCAGAGAGGACCCTGTGGCTTGGCCGGAGGGGCTCACAGGGGACAGAGCCAGCTGCCAGTCCCCTGGGGCCAAAGCCTGCCACTGATCCGTCTCTGCTCGTGACCAGGCTCTGCTCATGTTTAGTTGTTGATAGAAGGAGGGATGCTGGGGACTCATGCTTTGGCCTCCACTCACCCACAGCCCCAGACTCCCCCAGGGCACGTAGCCAGCGGCCACCTCCAGCCAGGCAGGCGCCCAGAGCCACCCGACGCCCTGTGTCTACTGTCCCCCTTGCAGAATTTTCTTTTCTGCAAACAAAAACCGACGAGAAACTGAGAAAGGAGAAGAGGGAGGCGGCCGCGGAGGCRCACGTACCCACGCTCCAGTCCATCTCCTCCACGCCGTCCCCGTAAGGGCCGTGCCGACTCTTTCTGGCGAACTCCTTGGAGGAGAAGTGGGCCGTGTGCACGTGGATGAACGACAGGAGGAGCAGGAACGGGGTGTCGGCGTGCCTGCGAGAGCCAGAGAGAGAGAGGGAGAGAGAGGGAGTCAGGGACATAGAGGACACCCCGCCCATTCTGATTAGGACCAGTGCCCTGTCCGGAGCTGCTCTCCTCCTCCAGGCCCTGCCGCCATATTGTGACATGACTGGGTTAGGAGAGGTGTAGACTCATAGTGGATTAATCCACTTGGATGGACTCACTGGGTGTAGACTAATTAGTGGATTAATCCACTTGAATGGACTCACTGGGTGTAGACTCATAGTGGATTAATCCACTTGAATGGACTCACTGGGTGTAGACTCATAGTGGATTAATCCACTTGGATGGACTCACTGGGTGGTGACTGCAGCAGGTGGGGTGWGGCTGGRGGAGGGGGTCCCTGGGCTGTGCCTTTGGGGTCTCTGTCCTGTCCCTGGTGAGCAGAGGTCTCTCTGCTCCCTGGTGTAACCTAATAGTGGATTAATCCACTTGGATGGACTCACTGGGTGTAGACCAATAAGTGGATTAATCCACTAGGATGGACTCACTGGGTGGTGACTCATAGTGGATTAATCCACTTGGATGGACTCACTGGGTGGTGACTGCAGTAGGTGGGGTGTGGCTGGAGGAGGGGGTCCCTGGGCTGTGCCTTTGGGGTCTCTGTCCTGTCCCTGGTGAGCAGAGCTCTCTCTGCTCCCTGGTGTAACCTAATAGTGGA